CGTAAGCATCTTATACATTGGAAATGAAAACCTGAAATATCGACCTTGATTAACTTCGACCGTCGCTCCAGCATCCCCTTAAGTGGCATATACCTTAATGTGTGAGGTGGCACGTTCGCTCCGTCTTAGGACGGGGCCAACTAACAATAACTGTCCCTATCTACTATCTAACGAAACCACTGCCAAGGGAACGGGCTTGGAAAAATTAGCGGGGAAAGAAGACCCTGTTGAGCTTGACTCTTGCCTGGCACTGTAAGGAGACATGAGAGGTGTAGCATAAGTGGGAGATGGCAACATCGCCGGTGAAATACCACTACTTTCATCGTTTCCTTACTTACTCGGTTAGGCGGAGCGCGTGCCCCGAGGGCTTCGTGCCCCGGCGGTCACGGTGTTCTAGAGACAAGCGTGTCAGAGTGGCGTGAGGCCTCGGCCGATACTCCCGCGTGATCCGATTCGAGGACACTGCCAGGCGGGGAGTTTGACTGGGGCGGTACATCTGTCAAAGAATAACGCAGGTGTCCTAAGGCCAGCTCAGCGAGGACAGAAACCTCGCGTAGAGCAAAAGGGCAAAAGCTGGCTTGATCTCGATATTCAGTACGCATAGACACTGCGAAAGCACGGCCTATCGATCCTTTTGGCTTGAAGAGTTTTCAGCAAGAGGTGTCAGAAAAGTTACCACAGGGATAACTGGCTTGTGGCGGCCAAGCGTTCATAGCGACGTCGCTTTTTGATCCTTCGATGTCGGCTCTTTCTATCATTGCGAAGCAGAATTCGTCAAGCGTCGTATTGTTCATCCGCCAACAGCGAACGTGAGCTGGGTTTAGACCGTCGTGAGACAGATTAGTTTTACCCTACTGATGACTAGTCATTACGATAGTAATCCTGCTCAGTACGAGAGGAACCGCAGGTTTGGATACCCGAGCAGAAATTGAACCTCATGACTAGTTAACCATTAGATAGAAAAGTTGTGTTTTAGATAACTGGTGTCTAGTATTTGTGGCTAGTTACTAACCAGTTATGTAACGCTCACTTCTCCTAGCAGCTGTACAAAAAAAATTAGCTAGTAGCTAGACAAAATATGTTACACAGTAGCTGTACAAGAAAAATTAGCTAATAGCTAGATATAAAATGTTGCACAGTTACAATGTGGAAAATCATAGTTAGCTACTAGCTAGTAATGTAACGCTCACTTCTCTCAGTAGCTGTACAAGAAAAATTAGCTAATAGCTAGATATAAAGTGTTACATAGATATGACGTGGAAAATCATAGCTAGCTACTAGCTAGTAATGTAACGCCCATTTCTCCTAGTAGTTGTACAAGAAAAATTAGCTAATAGCTAGATATAAAATGTTACATAGCTACGTGGAAAATCATAGCTAACTATTAGCTAGTAATGTAACGCTCACTTTTCCCAGTAGTTGTACAAGAAAAATTAGCTAATAGCTAGACATAATATGTTATACAGTCATGACGTAGAAAATCATAGCTAGCTACTAGATAGTAATGTTCTCCTAGCAGTTGTATAAGAAAAATTATCTAGCAGCTCTCTATCCTAACTAGACAGCAACTAAATAGGAAAAAAAACATTTTTTCGACTAGATTTTTTTATAGTCTATTTTCTGCCTAATTTTAGAGATAATTTTTATTAATTATATTTCCTCTCCATCTTTTGTTGTGTTCTCTTTAAGTGCTAAACGGGCCACTAATACCTGGGTGTTACGTATGTGGGGCGAGTGGTGGAAGGAAATGGAAATAGATCGAAGCCGCAATATGTAGATACAATCCTCGTACACTGAAGCGAAATGTTCTCTTTTTTATTTTTACAACTTTGTACAGACGTGTGTTTTTCCTCTCTGGCGCCTAGCGCGTGCGTCCGCCATGTCTATAATAATAATCTCCCTAGCTTGTTCGCAATCGATACCAACATCGATAGTCAGAGGATATTGCGCTCCCTCGCGGTAGCGCGAATCAACAACTGCGCGCATAAAACAACTAAACTAAAAGCCTCTAACACTGGGAAAAAACTTTTAACATCCGATGAGATTTGAACTTGTGACTCCATTCACAGTCCAGGCTTCTGAGTCGCTCACTTAACGTACTGCTCCACTACTACCTTATCGAAAGAGATGATTTGAATCGTCTATAGTTATTCTGCACAAATATGATTTAATACCTTGTAACTATATAGTATCGACTAGATAAGTTTTCTAACTTGTCACTGGCTAGTTACTAGCTATATATTCCGTAATATCAATAAATCTGTCTAGAGACAAGCTAGTAATTACGACGTTACACCTACATGTTATTTACTGGGCAACTACTAGACGGATTTTTTGACATAAGAAATGTGTCTAGTGACTGCCTAGTAATTACGATGTAACACCTACATATTATATACTAGGCAGCCGCTAGACGGATTTCTTGGCATGACAAAATTAGTCTTCTTACAATATTTCTTAATATGAAAGAAATTAATACAAAAATATTTAAAATATAACGTATTAATTACATAATGTATAACGCATGTTTAGAATTATTTTTTTGAACTTACATGTAAATGAGAGTCGCCCGATGCTTTTTCAAAGACTTCCGCCCCGGCTCTCGCTTCGGCGAGAGACGCTCCACTTTCGCTCGACGAGGATCCCGAAGATATCCCATTGTGCCGCGTAGCCCCCGTTAACGGGGCGGTGGTCCGCGGGTGCAATCTGATCGAAGACACTATACGAGGTGTGATCAAAAAGTAAGGTGACTTTTCATTTTTTTAAAAAAATATTCATTTATTCATCCAAAATTATGTTATCCCCTTCAAAATAATCCCCCTCTGATACAATGCACTTGTGCCAGCGCTTTTTCCAGTCGT